TTTTGTTGCGAGAACGAGCCTTAATTGATCTTCCAATTTTCAAAAAAAAAAAAAGAATCACCGTTTGTAAGCCGTGCATTTACAAATATTTTGGTAATATTTCGACTACACTCTAAAATCGATTTAATTTTCTCAAAATAATTATTAAAGTAAGAAGATTAGAAGTTACGAATTTTGGTTTATATATGTGCAAAATTGATAAAGTGAGCAAATCGAGAATACTATAAAGTAGAAAAAATTGTGTTCGTGAATTTGTGAAGTAGGTACTCACCGTAGGAAAATGTCTTTTTCGACTACTAGAACAAATGCACCTTCTAAACACAAGAACGACTAAGACAACTGATGACGGAGCGAGATGAATGAGCCTATACTTTTTATTTAATCATTTGCCAATTATACGTGTTTCCTTTTATCGATACTCCAAACACTTTGCATGCCATACTTAGTTAAGTAACATATCGATTATTGCACTTTTTCAGCCAAATTTTATGAAACTAAACAAACGGCCAAACTAAAAAGAGTTAAGAAGCAATTGTGTCCTGTCTTCCTTATCATCTCATTATCTAAAGTATTCCTTTTTTATCAAGGTAATTAGTTGTTATCTGCAGCACCAGAGGTTAACAACTTTTTGGACGCAGGTGCAGCTTTAGTCGGGTCAATGACTTCTCATAAGAGTGACTGCTCTGATGACTCTATGTTTTCTTCTCCTTCTTCAGTTTACTAGTATTAAAATACTAATTACAAAGTCACATAATGCTAAGTTGTGCCCTCATTTTTACTACTACTAGCAAACTCTAATTATGAGCTGATCCAACATTACACTGTCCAGGGTCGGGTTTTGAATTTTAGGCTCTTGCGGGCTGATTTTCAAAATTTATAGACAAGGCTTTAGACAGAGAGGACGGAAAGTATATGGAGGGATCCTATTGGCGAAAGCGAGTGGTTGCAATAGATCGTTTTCGATACATCAAATAGGTGAGATTGTATCGATATCGATTGATTCAACATGTAAACATAGCCTCAAAAGTCAATCGAGTAATCTGAGGAAACGGGGTTTTTCTGATAGATTTTTGATTCTTATGAGTACTGGATGGCATCGCAAGGTGAAATAGTTAGGAATTTTCTCATTTTTAGCTTTTCCGACTGAAATCCTGAAAGTTTTGTTTGAGGTTATGTTCTTTTGTTTTGAACCAAACGATCCATCGAACCACTATCGAAAGCGATCTATGGACAGAGGAGGTATAGGTAATAGACGAACTAACGGCAACTCACGTGAAACCCATTAGTTAGTTCTCCGTTAGTCTACAAGAACCACCCAACTTAGCTCCATTCTCCTTATGTCCTCTTTGTCTATCATTTTGTCTAATAATTTCAACGGTCAGCCCACTTGGCGCGATTGGTGGAAACCATGCGGGGTTCCCTTTCCGCACATTGACATAATTTCGCAGAGAATAAACGGAACAAGAGAAAGTGTTTATTTTGCTTCGCTAATTTGAAATTGAACAAAATGAGAGAGGAAAAAGAAAAGCAATTAACGTGATTCGACGGACGCCATATTTTGTATGTCAGAACGACGTGCGATATATTATGTACACAG